CTCGCCCTCTACAGAGGCCCCTTCCTCTACCACTGTTGAGCCAGCTGAGCTGCTGGATAGCGAACTGTCGTCCTTTGTGAACGGGTAGCTTTAACTGAGGAGGATCATCATGTTCACAATCACATACTAGGGTCAATATTGTCGGTCGCACGAAGTAACCTAGATATTGAGGCCACTATAGAGACCTTCGGGTCGGCGGCTAGCAGGCTCTCCGAGAAAAGCAGTGATATCGATGCGACGATAATATGTCGGTTTGCAGCGTTGAAAAAACGCTTTGGCGCCGCAGGGGACGAGAAGAGTCTGTGTTCAGCAGCCGTTATGGGTTTGGGAAAAGCGATTAGCAAATTTGAAAAGGAAGCGCCAGGTGTCGGCTTGAGGGTCGTGCAGGTGATATCTTAGGGTTCCCGGAGGAAGATTCAAATCATGTCCGATTTGTGCCATCAGGTTATTCCCTCTGCCAAGGTTCCGATTGTGGTGCTGTCATGGATAGGGCCCAACGGCAACGTACAGATTGTGGATGTGAGTATCAATAATCAGCTCCCTCTACATAACACTGCGGTAAGCTCCCATCACGTGTACCAGGAAGAGCACTGCCTCTTTTTATAGTTACTACGGAACTATGTGGAGATGGACAAACGTGTCCAAATCCTGGCGCTCTGTGTGAAGGTAGGACCTAGGGTCTGTTACTGTTCCTCAGTGGTGACTCTTCTCAGCGGTGGGCCAAACTATGTGGAATTAGTGACGCTAAGCAGGGTAACCTCAGTAGCTACAGTTGGACCTTGCTCTGCATATATTTTCTACAAGTAGTCATATTACCATCACTACTGCTAGCTATTCCCCTTGCATAGGTGCGCTCCAAAGGCGCTATTCTGCCGTCTTTACAGGCAATGGCGGCTAAGAGGCGTCAAGGGGAGCAGGTGAAGCACTATTCGTGTCCTATAAGTGGTCGTGTTTTTAACGTCGACTTTGTAGACAGATTCGGTAAGCATCATAACCTTCCCAGTGCGGTGAACGGTACACTCCTTCTCTCAGAGCCACTACGGAGATGACGCTTTCAAGCAGCGGACACCCCCCATCAGAGCTTCTGCGCGATTTTT